TTGCCTAAAGATCTGCAAGAACTCAGGGACACAGCAGAGTCCAAAGAATATATTTTTAGGGGAGGAGGAGGTTAGTTTACCCATTTTTATTTGCCACAATTGATACACCAAGCTAGTCAGTATACAACAACCTTTAATACTCTGGACTGTTTTCCCTTGAGATATTCTGAACTTGATACTTTTATCTGATTTAGTAAAATGGAAAGCTTAGTTAGCACCACAAAATTGCAATGTATCTTCAGCTCTTTCTGCAATAAGCAAAACTTGCTTTGCTTATGTATCTGTCATACGGTTTTACAAGACAATTCAAACGTGAAAGGTCTCTGTAAGACACTAAGACCTGTGGTAGTTTTTTTTTTTTTTTTTTTTGGCAATACAGTAACAATCAATAATATGAAAAGAAAACAAGGAAAGTGAGAGAAAAAGTGGTTTCAAGAATAACTTTAAGGTCTCTGCCATAAGCATCTGGATGTTAATGATAATCTCCAGAAGTACTGTAAACATTGGATAATATGCAATGACCTAAGGGAGTTGTTTATGTAAAAGATTAACTCATCTTGCTCTGAAGTCAGAGTTTCTTCAAAGTACCTCAATGCAGTTACAAATAGAGACCAGAAAGCCCCATTCAGTGAAATAGAAGGTGATACTCATATGGGTCCTACAACCATATCATCTGGAGCTCACCCACATCCCTAATCAATCGATTGTCTTTCTCCAAACACATAAATATCTGGGATCCAGAGTTTAAAGGGTTATTATCACACCTTTCTTTGAAGTCAGAACCTAGAGCCTAGCTAACTTAAATTTGTTTTTTCTTTACAAAATTATTTTTTGAATTCTCTATAAATGACTACTCTACAAAGGCTAAAGTATTCCAGTACTTCCTGGTTCCTCCTGTCTGTCCAAAACCTGGAATCATACCATGTTTGTGTACAATGTCATTTCTAGACCGGGAAAACATTAATGCAAACATTTATATACTAATACTAATAGTATTGACTGGTGACTGGAGTCCCTGGAGTCCCCCTAGAATTTAGAGCCTTCACTTTTCAGTCTTTCCATCCCCTGAGAAAAACAAAGAGAAATACAAGCTTATGCTGTCGAGGTGTGTCTGTCTTTCCTGGCTGGAATTAAATTTCTTTGTTCCCATGCCTCACCTCTCATCTGGGTACCCTTCTCTTTATATGTCCTCCCCAACTGTGTTGTGTTACTTCCTGTATCTTTCTGTTCTCATCTTAGAACTATCCTCTTCAAGCCCTTTATTGGTTTCCTAACATCAGGATAAGGTGCCTGTGAGTATAATCTGAGTGTGGTAATGGTGGTAGGAGTCTTGGGGAGGCAGACTGGAGAAGATCCTGGAAAAATCCAGGGAAAGATTTTGGTAGCTAGAATAAAGAATGACTCCTCAAGGATATGCATATCCTAATTCCTGGAACCTGTGCATAAGTTATTTATATGTCAAAAGATGTTTATGGCTGCTAATCATTTGACTTTATATTGGGTTATCTGGGTGATTCTGTTGTAATTGCAGTGGTCTTTAAAAGTAGAAGAGGGAGGGACGCCTGGGAGGCTCAGTCGTTAAGCGTCTGCCTTCGGCTCAGGTCATGATCCCAGGGTCCTGGGATCGAGCTCCACATCGGGCTCCCCGCTCAGCGGGAAGCCTGCTTCTCCCTCTCCCACTCCCCCTGCTTGTGTTCCCTCTCTCGCTGTGCCTCTCTCTGTCAAATAAATAAATAAAATCTTTAAAAAAATAAATAAAAAAAAATAAAATAAAAGTAGAAGAGGGAGATAGAAAAGTTCAGAGTCAGAGAGAGATATGTGACTATAGGGGTTAGAATAAGGAGACTTGAGAAAGACTCAATCCACTTTTATTGTCTTTAAAGACGGAGGACAAGACAATAAGCCAAGGAAATGTGTGTGTGTGTGTGTGTGTGTGTGTGTCTGTGTGTATTCAAGAAATATATTCAATATTTTCTGGCCCAAACAGGACACAATGAAAAAATTTGTAAAGAATGACAATCTTGAAATATTAATTTTACCACTGAGACCGTATGAATGGTTATTCTATGTGAAATCTTGCCTTCTTTTATTCTGGAAGAGACGCATGAGGACAGAAAATTTGTCCTCAAGAGTTCCCAATCATTAACAGAAGATGCTCACACATCTAGAAAAGAGAATCCAAGAGAATAAGCAGGAAAATAATGTGAAATTCAATACAGTCATCTGATAGTTTGTTTGGTAAAATGATTAAGAACTTGATTTTACAAGCAGGAGAAGGGACTGCTTGGTTCAGGATTACTGGAGAAGGTGCCCTGGAGACATCTGTGTTGGTAAGGATCAAGAGCAGTGAATAGAATTTACACATGTTGAGAGAAGACAAGATTACACTGATGGAAAAGGCAGCAATCGAAGCAATGAGATGTAGGAACGAGGGAGAAATCTATGGACGCCTTGTAGGGAAGAATGTGATACACATTCACATAGGTAGAACTAAAATATATAAGGAAACTACTGACTGCCAACAGGAGATAAAATATATTCTGTAGGTATAATGGGGGCAATGACAAGCTTTTAGACAAGGTTGCCAATGTCTTAATAATTTCATATTTTTAAGAGAGCAATCTGGCAGCATGAGATAAAGAACAAGACTCCCAAGATATTGGAAGAACTGGGATTTTTATTGTATGGCTCCAACTGGTGATGAATGACTTGAGTAGGTGAGGAAGTGGAAAAGTGGAGTAGGCAGATCAGACAAGGATTTTAAAGAGGATCAGAAGAGCTGGCAGATTAGATACAGGGACTGAAGGAGGAAGAAGAGCCTCAGTCAACCCTCAGATCACCATGCTCTGGTGGTGGAAGAATGATGTGATGACGAAGTGAGGTAGCTGGTCAGGAAGTTAACAGGTGGAAGAAATAATGAGTTTTGGAGAATTGTTGATGAGTTGACAGAAGAATATTTAGATGGAGATCTTCTTCCAGATATTAAGAAAGTTGAGCAAATAGGCAGTAGTAGATTGGCTTGCCAGATTCCTAATGATGTATTGGCAATGAAGAATGCATATTTGTTAACTCATACCTGGTCCCTGTTATTTCTTTGAATGGGCACCTCAGTGAAGATTTACTGAGATCTGTGCCAGGTAGGATACTCGACATTTACATCTTTGAGAAATCTCAGACTGAATTACTTGGTGAGGGCAAGATAATCTTGGAACTTTAGTTGACAACACAGGCCCAGCAATGATCACAGGTCATGGATCTGGTGGGACGTGGTCCCGATGTAGTAACAATGCTGTTATTGTTAATGTCTATAGATAGAGAATTATTGGTTTAATTCATGGTTTAATTCATATCTCTTGGCAGCCTTTGGTAAGTGTCTGCTGTAGTGTTTGTGATGCGATGGGAACGAAGGGATCTTAGTTCCAGAAAAGACTTAAAGGGAATTCATGGCCAGTAAGTTCCAGGAATAAAATACTATATTTTGTCCTTAAGGAATTACAATTACCATGATGGCCACATTGAATTTAACAAGTTTTGATCCAGGCTCCTTCATGTTGGTAGGGATCCCAGGGCTGGAGCAATTCTATATCTGGATTGGGATTCCTTTCTTTGTTATCTACCTGGTGGCCCTTGCAGGTAACAGCATCCTTCTTTACCTCATCACTATGACCATAGCCTCCATGAACCCATGTTCTTCTTTCTCTCTATGTTGGCCTCTGCAGACCTCATATTATGTACCCCTGTGTGCCCAAAACACTTGGCATATTCTGGTTGAAAGCTCAGAAAATCACTTTTCCTGGCTGCCTTACCCAGTTGTTCTTTCTTCACTTCAGCTTTTTTCTGGACTCAACCATCTTGTTGGGCATGGCATTTGATCGTTACATGGCCATTTGTTCTCCTTTGAGATACACAAGCGTTTTGACACCTAGGACAATTGTCAAGATCACGGTGGGCATTGTCGGTCGGAGCTTTAGTGTCATTCTGCCTGTTAGTTTCCTGGTGAAGCATTTGCCCTTCTACAGGACACACATCATCCCTCACACATACTGTGAGCACATAGGTGTTGCCCGGCTCGCCTGTGCTGACATCGCCGTCAACATCTGGTATGGTTTTGCTGTGTCTGTAATGACTATTATCTCAGACCTAATTCTCATTGGTATTCCCTATTCTCTCATCCTTCATGCTATTTTCCACCTTCCATCCAGAGATGCCCGACAGAAAGCCCTCAGCACCTGTGGTTCCCATGTCAGTGTCATTCTCATATTCTACACACCAGCCCTGTTCTCATCACTGCGACCACAGTATCTCCCTCACCTTTTATATCATGTTTGCCAACCTCTATGTGGCAACCCTTCCTGCACTCAATCCCATCATTTATGCTGTAAAAACCAAGCAGATCAGGGACAAGGTCATCCTCCTATTCTTTCCTAAATGGATTCAGTGTCCCAGGGCTGGGAACATAGAGAAAAAAATTGTGGGAAGTCAAGTAATCATATTGATTTAATAGAATTTCTTATGTAAATCAGTAGTAGGAAGCCCTCCAATAATGGACTCAATTCCTATGACTCTCAAGACCTTAATTTTGTTGGGGAAAATCATTGGTAGAATTAGAGGAAGAGAGGTAAGGATTTTTCAAGTCCCTAGAAAATGACAAACATCAGATAGAAGAATCCCAATTTTCTACAATCAAAAACTTAAATGCGGGGCGCCTGGGTGGCTCAGTCGTTAAGCATCTGCCTTCGGCTCAGGTCATGATCCCAGGGTCCTGGGATCGAGTCCCACGTCGGGCTCCCTCCTCGAGGGGAGGCCTGCTTCTCCCTCTCCCACTCCCTCTGCTTGTGTTCCCTCTTTCGCTGTGTCTCTCTCTGTCAAATAAAAAAATAAAATCTTTAAAAAAAAAACTTAAACGCAAAAAATGTTTACTCTTCCTTTGGTCCTTTTATCTTGTTTCAATGTCCTTCTTAAATAAATTTTAAAAAAGAAAGAAAAGAAAAAATAGTACTTTATTCATAGGCTTGTTTAGCACCCAGTAAGCTCATAAATTCAATAACCATCTGCATGCTGAAAATTCCCACATCCAAAGTTCTACTCCCAATTCTTTCTCTGTCCCACATAGCCGACTCTGTATTTGGTAACACCTCCTGGCCATCCCACTGAAACTCCACAATCAACATGAACTAAAATTCATTTATTATCAATTATGTCCTCTGAATATCCTTTAAATTCATTCACATGTTTCATATTAAAATATGATCACCACTCTCTGTGTGTGTGCGTGTGTGCATGTGTGTGTGTGTGTGTGTGTGTCCTGGATCTGTTCAGCAGCCTCATTTGGAATTTGCTCACTCTAAATTTTTCTCTCTTGCATCCATTTTTTTACTCAGAAACTAGAGTGGTTTTACTGAACCCCAATTAATCATGTCAATCCTCTACTTAAAAATCATTCAAGTTACCCATTTTGTCTGCAAGAAAACTCAAATGCCTTAACCTATCTTCAAAGCCTTTTACAGCATGGTTGGTGCTAACCAGTTATTGCTTGATGTCCGCTGATCCATCTCTCCCCCTTGCTCTCACTTTGGCTCACATGCCCTTAATGCTACAATCACCCTGTACGTCTTATGCTTTTTCAAACTATGTTCCCTTTCCTTCTGAACTTTCTTTCTTTTTTTTTTTGTGGGTTTTTTTTT